AAGGCTGGGTCGACCTGAGAGCCAAGGTCCTTTTTGAAAAAAAGTCCAGCTTCGCTAGGGAGTGAACCCACGACCTTCCGATCCCCAGCGAGCTTAAATTTAAATTGTTTTATTCTTGCCTTTGCTTCCCTCTATTTTTTTCTATAATGATTTCTTGATTCCTGCTTACTCCTCTCCTTCTCTGTTCCTCTTCCTTTGTCACTCTTTGGCTATCTCTCTTTCTCTCTCCTCATCTTCCTCTCACTTATTTCTATTTGTGCATTCTCAAATTTCTGTGTGTCTGTCTGTCTTTGTTTCTTTGTTTGTTTGTTTTCTTCCTTTCTGTCTTTCTTTTCCTTTCTGTCTTTCTTTTCTTTTCTTTCTTCCTTTCTTTCTTTCTTTCTTTCTTTCTTTCTTTCTTTCTTTCTTTCTTTCTTTCTTTCTTTCTTTCTTTCTTTCTTTCTTTCTTTCTTTCTTTTTCTTTCTTTCTTTCTTTCTTTTTCTTTTCTTTCTTTCTTTCTTTTTTCTTTCTTTTCTTTTCTTTCTTTCTTTCTTTCTTTTCTTTCTTTCTTTTTTCTTTTCTTTCTTTCTTTTCTTTCTTTCTTTCTTTCTTTCTTTCTTTCTTTCTTTCTTTCTTTCTTCCTTTTTCTTTCTTTCTTTCTTTCTTTCTTTCTTCCTTTCTTTCTTTCTTTTCTTTCTTTCTTTCTTTCTTTCTTTCTTTCTTTCTTTCTTTCTTTTTTTCTTTTTTTCTTTCTTTCTTTCTTTCTTTCTTTCTTTCTTTCTTTCTTTCTTTCTTTCTTTCTTTCTTTCTTTTCTTTCTTTCTTTTCTTTCTTTTCTTTCTTTCTTCTTTCTTTCTTTCTCTTTCTTTCTTTTCTTTCTTTCTTTTCTTTCTTTCTTTCTTTCTTTCTTTCTTTCTCTTTCTTTCTTTTCTTTTTCTTTCTTTCTTTCTTTCTTTCTTTCTTTCTTTCTTTCTTTCTTTCTTTTTTATATTAACATGACTGAAATAACCTTCCTGGGCAGATGTTTCTCTCTGCTGGTTTTCCCTAGACACCTGCAGTGGGTCAAAACACTGTAACTGAAGAAATCAAGTTGCTAAATGAGGCTAGGTAAACAGACATGTCAGATTTCATGTGAAATGTTTGGCTTGCTCCCTTCCAGCCAGCCTAGCATTCCTGTGTAATTGGGCAAATAGAGGATGTTTTTGACACCCTGTGGAGAAGCTAACAGTGCACATTTACCTAACAAGCCTCACAGTAATAATCGCGTATATCCATAGCCACATTAACACATACATTTATTTATGTATGTATTGTTAAAAAAAAAACACAACAACAACACAGAAGGATAGATACAGAAAAGAAAGATTTGCAAAATTGTCTAGCATTGCTATATTTTAGGGTGCTTACATTTTTTATTCCATTTTATACCATACATGCGTACGATGGGAGAACTGGTCGAGACAAAATATCAATTTAAAATGTAAGAGGAGCTTTCATAGCACTGGGAAATTTGGGTAAAAGAAAAAAACGGTCATTAAACTTAAAATTTTAAATTCTATTGTCAAATCAGTAGCGTCGTAAGGAATGGAGACATAGAGAACAACTAAAACAGTTACTAATAAATTGCAAACATTCATTAACATGTGCCAGCGTAGAGCAGAGGGAATAAAATGGTATGATAGAATCACAAACATAGAGCTTTAGGGGAGAACTAAACAGGTTCCAGTGTACCAAGAAGTGAGGAAAAGACGTTGGCGTTGGATAGGGCACTCATTAAGAAACCTGAGAACAATATAACTAAAATGTGTTTGCACAGGAACCCACAGGGGCATAGAAATAAAGGTGGACCAAGAAATACCTAGAGAAGGGAGGTGGAGAGTGAAGTTAAAAATATGGGGAATCACATGGGGTGAGCAGTATGCAAGTATAGTAAGGCTTAGCTAGCGTTGGTTGAGGGCCCATGCTCCTTTAGGGGGATAGAAGGCAGAAGAAGATGCATATTTGTGGGTGGATGGGTTGGTTGGGGGCAAGTATGTCTTCTGCTTCCACAGCATTGCAAGCACTTGAGGTTCATTGCTGCAGATGTCACCCGTCTCCATGTATCTGTGATTAGTCCTCTCTTTCCAGTTGGTGACACCAAGTGTTAGCAGGTCTCCCTGTACATGATCTCTCCACTGCCTTCTTGGTCTGCCTCGTGGTCTACTCTCATTCAGCTCCCTTGTGTACACAGTTTTAACCTCTCTGCCTTGTTGTTATTAGACATTCTTTCAATATGCCTCGGCCATTTCAGTCTCTGTCTGTATGAATGAATGCACGTGTGTGCGTGTGCTTATACACACACACACACACACACACACGCATGCACGCACGCGCACACACACACACACATATATACACACACATATATATATATATATATATAAAGTTTATCTTTAGTAATATCAAGTTTTTCTATTTCTGTATTCATTTTTAGACATTCAGTGTCTGCTGCCCTACCCCTCTAACTATTGTACATTGTACTAAAATTGTACCCGCCTGTCTGAATTTGAAATTGCCTCCACTTGGTTCTACTTTGGTAGCATACATTGAAAGATATTCAACCAGTTTGTTTTACTCTCATCTTTCTCACAACTGCATTAAAAGTACTCTTATCTATAAACTTTCAGGGAATTCCTTAATCTGCATTCACTTGTGACCAGATGATGTTAAACTACTGCCGTACAATGTCTTACTCAAAACTCTACCCTACAAGTCTGAATTTCAGACAGCTTCTGAAGGTTGTACTTCTGAAGCAAAAAAGTAAAGGACCCTTTTCGATGCCTTTAGGCTATAGGGCATATAGGGCTAGACCTATATTTTATAGATCAATCTGCACAAGATGGGTGATGTGGTCAGCTTCACGTCGCCCATCTTTACTTCCCGGGACTACACCCGGTACCCACTCAGGGCTGGGTTGACCTGGGAGCCAAAGTCATTTTTGAAAAAAGCCCAGCCCTGCCAGGGAGCAAACACATGACCTTCTGATCCGTGGCAAGCATCTATAAATACTCCGCCGTGGCGACTCCCCTTCTCCAGTCAACGCTGAAAGATATTCTGCCAGTTCTAGATGCTCTTATTTTGGAACGACCATGTTATTCTTTTTCTGTACTCGCCCATTAGCACATTAGGTGTCTGGTAATCCTCCTCTCTGGCCTTGCTGTGTGGTTTTCTTCTTAGCGTCCAGCAGCTGTAGACTTTGATGGAAAGTCCTGGCTGTTTGACCACTTCTGAGTTTTGGCCCCCCCCCCCCCAGGACTTAAGTTTTGTGTGCACATCGATTTTACAGATCTGGCTTTTTGTGTGCAGACTGCTGGTTCCTTGTTTCTCAGGTAGATGCACTCTGACTTGGATTTAAAGAAAAAGAAGTTGATCCTATCTTTGATGACCAGGTCCTTGGTAGAGAAATTTTTCAGGAAGGAACAAAGAAACTTTATTTTCAAAGGGTCACAAATTGGGCACACAGGCCCATCTTATAATCAGCCCTTTCAGTCCATCATAAATGACACAGCAGTTGTATTTGATCTGTACAGCATGTTGTGTTCATATAACAATATTCATATAGTAATATCAAGTAAAATACACAAAAGCATGGCTGGTTTTTATATATACACACACACACAAATGTGCATTTGCACGTGCAAGTGCGCACACGCACACACACACACACACCTGGCTACAGACCATACAGATACATACCTACCTACTAGAACACACACACATATATACACACACATACCTACACACATACAAATGTAATACCTACATATGTAATACACAGACTCACACATTATGTGCACGCACACACACACACACATCTCACTCATTTAGCATGCAAACATACTCATACATACATGCATATACACCCACACTCACACATACCCAAGCAGAAACTATTGTACATACAAATGTATTCTCTCACATACCTATGTACCTATATACAGTAACACAAATAAACACTCATATATACTCACATGAGATTTCCTAGGTCAATCTAGCCTAAAAAAAAAAAAAAAGCCTGGGAATTAAAAACAGCAATATAGTTCACATTACCCATAATTCCATTTGGCCTGTAAAATTATGGGATAAGTACCATATGCTCAGTACACTTCAGGATTTGGAAAATGATAATTTCATTTTTTTAAATGTGTCTCATGTTTCAGCTGTAAACCCTAGAGGATTTTCTGAGATCATTTTGACAATGTCATTTAATCTCAGTTAATTCCCCCCCCCCCCCCCTTACCCCCTCAGATTTAGTGGATTGGTTCCCTAATTCAACTAATCTTGTCCTAGAGTTTCCTCTGTTATACTCAGAGCTTGGTGTTGTATTCTACTTCAGATTTGTTGGATTCAAGTTCTGAGCCACATATAGTGCTCTGTAGATAATTTTTTTCTGTATTAAATGACTTGTAGAATATAAGCCTAGTATTAGTACAAGGGAAGCTCAGTAAGTAAGTCACAAATGGTTATATTGTTGAAAAGGGGGGGGGGAGGGACAAAATGGTTGCCTGCAAAGGACATTCATAAGGAAATGCTTCCTGTTTATGCTGACAAATGTTTAGCCACTTGCGATTTCCACCTTTTTGGTCCACTGAAAACCCACCTTGGCAGGAGACATTTTGTGAATGATGCAGAAGTTAAATGTGAAGTAAAAATGTGGTTGAGCAAACAGAGCATGCAGTTCTATGCAGCAGGTTTGGGAGTACTGATAAAACGATGGGACATGTGCATCAGTGTTGGTAGAAATTATGTTGAAAAATAAAGGGACAGTGTTTTTGAAATAATTAACAGTTTTCAAGTGGTTTTCATCTTTTTTTTTTTAAACAGCCATTTCTGACTTACGTTGTGGCTATTATTGCTATTGAAACTTCTATGAAATATTCTTTTACTGAGTTAGTGATTTTGATGAAAATGTATTACCAACAGCAGCACAGTTTATTCCTGAAATTGTTTTATTCACTTTGTTCTCTTTTTTGTGTGCCCAGGAGCAGGAGTGGCGACGGTGATGATTTCCTTCCTGTTTACCACGTACTACATCATCATCATCACCTGGTCTGTCTACTACATGTTCAACACGTTCACCGACACTCTACCTTGGACCAGCTGTAACAACACTTGGAACTCCCCTCATTGCTGGGATCCACTTGTCCTTAATGCCAGTGCCGGAGCTGGCAACCAGACCTTGATAGGACAGCCAAATGATTCCCGGTCTCCCACGGAGGACTTTTTCATGTAAGTCACATTAAACAAAATTCTTCATCTATGTATCCAAAACAATGGTCGTATCAAAGAAGACAATAACTCCAGAATGTAAAATAGCAATAGAAGGGAAAGTGCTTAACCAAGTCAGTAAATTCAAGTATTTATGGATATCAGATGGATGATGTGTGACAGAAATTAAGGGCAGAATTGGCCAGGTAAAGACAGTATTTAAGAAGATGAAAAGTATCTTATGTAATAAATCACTGTTATTAAACTCTGAGGAAAGGCAAGACGGACATTTAACCAGATTTTGACCGGTATTGGAACTCTGCGCTGGCTGCTGAAGATGAGGACGGAGCATGCATGAGAATGCCCTAAGTGCTGTGATGTTAATTCTTGACTCAACTCAACTCTTATTAAACTCCAGAAAACGAGTTCTGAAATGTTGTATCGAGCCTGTTCTGTTGTATGGCAGTGAATCTTGGAATGTGAGCAAACACATTAGGAATTAACCACTGAGATGTGGTTCTTGAGAAGAATGTGGCGAATCCCTTTGACTGCCAGAATAACTAACAATGATTGCCTGGAATTGGCTATTAAAAGTATTATAAACAACAGTGAGAAGGAGACAAAGTTCTTTGGTCAAATGATGAGAAAAGGAGCACTGGAAAATATCTTGACAACTGGTAAGATCACTGGTAGCAGAGGCAGACCAGGAGAAATAATGGTGGACGGCTAAAGATAGTGGCATGGGGGAAAATCATCCGTGGAGTTGATCCAGACCACCAAATAACAAGATCCCTGGAGATGCATGAACACCTACACCAGTTGTCAAGATCAAAATCCAGAAGCTGACGGACAATGAGGACTTTCCACTGGAGTTTACAGCCGGTGAATGCTAAGAAGAAGAATATATTAGGGGGTTTTCCTCAACAGTCCGAGCGCATCTGCCTGAGAGGCGAGGAACCAACAGTCTGCATACAAGTAAGCCAGATCTGTAATAGGGATGTGCTTGCAAAATTCAGGTTCTGGAACAAGACTGGGGTCCAAAAGCTGGTGAATAACTGGAACTTTCTGCCAGAGTTTACAGTTTGTAAATGCTAAGAAAAAGAAAAGGAAAACAAATGTATCTTGACATGGATTGGAACCCAAAACAAACAGGCCATTCAGCCATTATGCCTCTTCTTGTTTTGCTTGGAACTGTCAAGTCATTGCTCTTGTACTGTATGGTTTCAAGCTAAAGTGTAAGCTTTAAGAAAGTGCCCGTTTGTGTGCTGCCTATGGGGGTTTCAAGGGACTCTGCTATTTCCTCTGCCCATCATATGCATAGGTCTTCATGTGGGTTCCAGGGTCCCATTGTGGGGAAAGGGGGGGGGGGGGGTGGACATAGACCCACTGTCTCTTTAACTAAGCATGTCGTAAAAGTCAGCTAATAAAGGTGTTTTCTTTAAAATTTGGAATGCATGTGCCAGAAAGGTGAGGAACCAACAGTCTGCATGCAAATCTGTAAAACTGATGTGCATTCAAAACTCAAATTCTGGAACAGGACTGAAGTCCAGAGTCTACATCCTGGGATTACTAAGAAGAAGAAGATATGCACAGAAAATTACTTAACAGGTCCTGAAATGAGAAACAAATGGATTGAGAAACTAAGAATGTTTTAAGAGAAACCCTGAGATGAAGGCTGGTGAGAGATTCCAAAGGTGCTGGGCTGGAATCCATCCATGGTGTTGAAAACATTGTACTGGATAGAACAGAATGGAAGAAAAGACTGTGAGTCCTATGATGTGTCAGTGGCTAACAGGATCTTGTTAAAAACCATGATTATCTATATAAGCTGATGATCCTGCATCAAAAGAGCCAGATGTCTTATACAGTGGCAATTTCCCTATAGTATATGGCAAGGCCTTGACCCCCCAGCCCCTTGAGCATATGGCAAGACCCCCACACCTCCACGCCAATACCTCTCCCCCCCACCCCAAGAGTATAGCAAAACCCCCATGCCCTTTCTACCCCGGTATTAAAAATAAATGTGGTTAAAAAGAGGAGGACAAAAACAAAAATACCAAGCTTATTGAAAACTTAGAGAAAAACATCCACATAAATCAGTGTCAAATAACGAAAGAAACAGTCAGAAGCTATAATTAAATGCATACATTATCATACTAATTCAATTTTTAACGTACAAGATGTGCTAGCTGCTCATGAAAGCAGTTTTATAAATAGTTTTACAACATTTTTTATTTATAATTAAACTGGGAAAAATATGTTAGTATAACGGATTAAACATTTATAAATAAACTCAATTTTAAAATTGCTTGATATTCCCCTTGAAACTTGCTCACACCCTGCATGGTTGGAGACCACTTAATGCCAATGTTGTGAAGAACAATGGTTTATCCTATGCAGTTTTTCTTGCTTGAATTCTTTTATGTTTCAACAGTATGTTAACTCTTTTGGTCCTGTAAGTATTTTTGTTATACAAATAATAATTTTTTTTTCATTAGATAAATCCCTAAGAACTAACAGTTTGCTATATCGTAGAAATAAAAAATGAATAATAGATACCCCTGTCATTGACTTTTTTTTTTTAAATTTTACATTAACCAAAATTTAAATATACGAAGACACTTAATGTGATGTTTGAGACGTGAGGAATAGTCAGCAACATATCATGCATTGCTTGGGACTAAAAGAGTTAAATTAGCTTTAAGATGGTGCACTGAGATATGAAAATAACTGGCTTCCTTTAGAAGTGACCGCAGCTTTTGATGTATAGAAATCAAAGCATTTATAATCATGAAACGTGGGTGTATTACAAGGTAAGGCACACCTCATGTTATGGAATAAATCTGTGGACTCTGATCCTGTAGTTGCAGTTAACTAATTATAATTTCAAACATAGCAGCTGTAACCTTTCTTCTTCCTCTTCTTCTGTCGTCTCACTGATGCCAGGTTGTAGCCCAGTGTCGTGGCTATCTGTATTTGTCTTGCGCTTCTCCTGTGGCTTGGCTGATGGATTTCTTCATCTTTTTGCAGGTTTCAACTACACCATTTATCCATCTCTTTCTTGGTCTGACTTCATTCTCACTGGATAGTGGAACTATTTCATTGTTTGTCAGTGCTTTCAAGACTGTCTCTCTAATGCTGGTATTTGTGACCCTATCCCTTCTTGTGTTGTTTGTGGCCTTCCAAAGACATCACATTTCACATACAGTCATTTTCTCTTCTAGTGCCCTGTTCATTGTCCATGTTTGGCACTGATAGCGTAAACTAGGGATGAAGATGCTATTAATCATTTGCTGTTTTTCTAGAAGGGAAACGTTTCGGTGTCTAAGCAGCTGTAACCTTTTCCAGTAATAATATCCACACTAACCAAATCACTTTCAATCAGCTGGCTTGCTGACGAATTTGAAAGTGTCCCCTAGGTTTCCCTGTGTAGGAAAAATAAACATGTCAGCCGTGCCTTTACAAGTATAACTCTAGCTGTGCTTACGCAAGTTTTGTCAGCATTGTGGAATGCATCCAAATATATTTTCAGAACAGCGGTAGTCATGTAAAGCATATAATCTAAATTGAAATGGTTCTCCTAAAAAATGTTCAGTTTTCATATGTATGGAAACTGATGGGTCACCCTGTGTAACCATTTTATTGCCTATTTCTGCTTGTTTAACACTCTGTTTACTTAAATACTGACCTCTCCTTTGAAGTTGGAGTGCATCTCCCTGAGACGCAAGGAACCAACAGTCTGCACACATATAAGCCACATATTTAAAACGGATGTGCACTCAATAGTCAAGTCCTGGGACAAGGCCACAAGTCCAGTAGTGGGCAAACAACCAGGACTTCTGCCATTTACAGCTAGCAAACACTTAAAACATTGTTCCATAAATAGAAAAAAAAATAAAAAAATAAAAAGATATACTTTCCTACTTGCCAATTATCGACTCTCTGTCTCTAGTATTTCCTAGTTCACCAGCATTCCCTGAAGACAATACCCAAATGACGCTAATGACCTCAAAACTCTGAAGCCCTGCTTGCTACTGTACATGGAGCATACCTGTTTCTACCTTTCTCAGATTGCTTTGTGGTGAATTTCCTAATATTCTTTGTTAGTGCCCACTTGTATTTGCTGTATCATTTATCCTAGACACTTGTCCTTTTGATTTGCATGGGTCTTTTATTACAGCTCCTGCAATAAAAAGCTTGTTTAAAATATTATTCTGCTGTTCTCTCCACTCACACAAAGTATACTTTGTCCTGTGTAAGGCACAGAAATAAAAAGATAAGGGAGCCTTAAGGTCAAAGAACTAGTGTGTTAAATGTAGAGACATTTATTGATTATTGAAAGGTACTCATAGAATGAAGTAGGCAGATAGGAGGACACACTTTTTGTAGGCAACCATCAGTTCCTAGGGACCATGGAGTTGTGCTGCTGTTTTGTGAACAGTGACTGATAAGATTGTCAAGTCCAGTGTGGGAGTGGCAGTCTCTACCAGTTAGTCAACATCAAATAGTTGAAACTCTGTACTGAGGCTGGCTTGTCTCTTAGACATCTCCTCTCTATAGCCTGGTGCACTTGGCCTTGTGCAAACTGTGATAGTCTTTGACTGGCTGCCTCCATAGGAGTCAGCCCAGAGCTGATCTCTCCCAAGTGTCTGTATCAGTGTTGATATCCTGCAGGTCGCTTTTGCATGTGTTGTTTTAGCGTGGCTTTGGCCTTCCTGCAGATCTTTTCCTTGTACCCAAAATACCATTCAGGAGATCCTATGGAAGGTGACCATCCTGTGAGAGACATGTCCCAACTAATACAGATGTCTTTGCTTTGGTGGAAAGTACATTGTTGGCATTCCTGCTCTTTCAAGGACACATTCGTTGCAAAGTCTGGCCATGATATATCAGGACACACCAGGCAACATAAAAATCAAAAGTTATAGTTACCATACCAGTCTGTGAGTGCCGATCAACATCTGTCAGCTTGTTTATCAGGTTTCATTCTGTCCTACTGGTTATTGCTTCTGTATTTTAAGTTTGCTGTTTTTTTCTGCTGGCAGTTCTTGGATCTACGATTTCAATTTATTACTCATGTAATTTATTACATATGTAAAATAGAACATGTTGTGACCACTGGAAAGATCTGTGGAAGGAGGGATAGAGGAAGACAGCGAGAGAAGATTCTTGACAGTCTTGTTGCATGGAGGTGTGTCAGCACACAAACTGATGCATGCTGCAGGAGATCGCAGATTGTGGAGAGGCATGATCGCCCACGCCAGTCGGCAAGGCACCTGATGATGATGAATTTCTTATTCTGCATTCAGTGTTAAAGCTGCAGTTGGCATGTCATGTTGTTCTTTACAGCTAGGCTGCAATAGCTGCAACTTTTGGCCCAGCACATCTGTTTTCAATAAACCTACCATTTTTTTTCCGTGCTCATATATAATATAACCCCATTTTTTTTTAGCTCAAATATTAGGGAAAAATATTTTAAACACATTTTGTATGTGAGACGACTCCCAGTTTAAAAACATAGGTAATTAGTTTTTTTTATGGCATGCTTGTTGACAGGGCTGGTGGGACTGTGGGGCATGCTTGCATATTTACAGTTATTTGTTTTCTCTTGATTTAAATGTATACGTTACTTCCTTTTTAGTTTGTCAATGCTGTTAGTCAGGTAATTTCTTCTTCATCTTCTGTGTTTGCTCTTAAAAGTTTTGTTGGCATGCTGTAGTGTAGTTTAAAGCTAGGCTGTGGTATCTGTGCATTTTAGCCTAGCATCTCAAATTTCTCACTAATTGCCTTTTATGACAAGTTCATTATGAAGGGTTCAGTGGAGCTGATTACAATCGAATATATTAAACACCAGAATCTTATATTCATTGATCAAGAGAAGGCTTTTGACAGGGTTAACAGAAATAAACTATGGTACATTCTTGAAGAATATGGTGTACCGGGTCAATTATTGGGAAACATAATGGCTCTCTATCAAAATAGCCAGAGCGCTGTAAGAACAACGGAAGGTATGACAGACTGGTTCCCCATTACATCAGGAGTACGACGTGTCCTATCACCCCTACTCTTCATCACATATATGGATAAAATTGCACAGGAGTCAAACCAAAACACAGATATTATAAATGAACTACTCTTTGCAGATGACCAATGTTTGTTACAAGAAGAAGAACAAAAACTACAACAACATGTTGATTCATTGCTCACTAACTGTACAAAATTTGACATGAAAATAAACACCTCAAAAACTGAAGTAATGGCCATAGGAAAGAAACACAGTAATGTAAACATAAAGATCAATGACATACAATTAGAACAAGTTCAAGAATTCAAGTACTTAGGATGCATATTTACAGAAGATGGAAGACTCGATAAAGAGATACAGGCTAGAGTTCAAAAAGCCAATGCAGTCAACTACCAACTGGCCCCACTTCTTTGTCATCCAAAGATCTCGTTACCAGCCAAACAACAGATGATCAACAGCATTTTCATCCCTACGTTATGTTATCAGTGCCAAACGTGGACAATGAACAAATCACATATGCAAAAAATAACTATGTGTGAAATGCGATGTCTCCGAAGAGTCACCAACAATACACGAAGAGACAGAGTCACAAACGTCAGCATTAGAGACAAAGTTGGAACAAGATCATGCATGAAACATATTGAAAGACAGAGAATGAAGTGGTTTGGTCATTTAGTAAGAATGCAACCGGATCAGATTGCCTATAAGGCCTTTTACAGTAGAACATCGGGAAGAAAGGCCAGAGGAAAACCCAGGAAAAAATGGATAGATGGAGAATACAGCCAGAAGATTCAGAAAACTGTCACTCAAATCACGCGAGAGGCACAAAACAAATATTTTAAACCACGACACTGGGCTGCAACCCGGTAAAAGTGAAGAAGACAATAGATAGATAGATAGATAGATAGATAGATAGATAGATAGATAGATAGATAGATAGATAGATAGATAGATAGATAGATAGATAGATAGATAGATAGATAGATAGATGGTGGAGCTGATTAAACCCTAATGGGGTGTCAGCTAATTTGACTGCTTAAGGTTTTAAATAAACATTTCAAGAACGAAGCTTATTGTCTGTGCTGTTTGTGTGTTTTCCTCTTCATAAAGTTCTATTGTCTCTTGTTATGAAGTTTACCTCATTGTTACTCATGGTCTTCTATAACTTTCACAGTGAGAATGTGCTGGAGAAGTCTTCTGGGATTGATGAACAGGGAGTCATGCGCTGGCAGTTGCTGTTGATCCTGCTGTTGTGTTGGGTTGTTGTCTACTTTTGCATTTGGAAAGGTCCAAAATCTACTGGAAAGGTAATGTTTGTTTTTAGCTGTGGAAGGTAATGTCTTCTTCCTCCCTTGCTCTCTCACTACTTCAGGGGTTGAGGGAGATAAACAGTTCTGCTTCTTGCTTTTCTGGCTGCCTTGACCATAGAAACATTGTGCTATTGTAGAGTTTTTCAGATGTTATCTTTCCATTGGCAATGACAACAGCTCACAGAAGCCAGCTGCAGGCCTCAGAAATGAGATATCTGAGAAAAGTGGTCCAAGTGACAAGGGACAAAGTCCGCAATCAGACAAAACGTCAAGATCTTGATACCCAGTCCTTACAAACCCGAGCGGATCAGTCACAGTTACGATGGTTTGGACATGCATGCAGAATGGGAGAAAATCGGCCACCATGGCAGGCATGGGAGGGTAAGAACCAGGGAACCAGACCTCCAGGAAGGACGACCCAGGGTGTGCTGGGAAGACAACATCCGACAGTCCCTAACTGACAGAGGACTGGAATGGAACAAAGCCAGAAAGAAAACTGCTGATAGAGACGTCTGGCGATCTCTCTGGCAAACCTCTACACCCAAAGGTAGAAGAGGAGCGACTAAGTAAGTATCTCTCCATTGTGTTCTTGGTCTATCTCATGCTCTCTGCCTCTCTCCTCTTTTGGTGTATGCCTGGTTGAGTATGGCAGAAATAATGTCATTGGAAAAAAATTGGGTCTCCCAGTTTACATTTCACTCTTGTAGGTTTCCCAGTAGACATTCAAGAGAGGAATTATTCATGAGTGCTTTTTTTTTTTTTAAAGTGCTAAATCCACACAGACCAGAATGTTACCAGGCCTTTAAGGGAAGCAAAGAATAGTAAGACTGCACCTTACAGACGTCATGAGGAAAAGGATGAACATAAAATTGTATGAATTTAAGAGGAGTGAAGAAAAAAGAGAAATATCAGGACTTTTACTAGTATCAACAGTTTTAAGACAGAGAATATGGCACTGTATTGGACACATTTTAGAATCACCAAACAGGCACTGCAGTGGGAAATAGAGGGATTGAGGAAACCCATGGGATAGAATGGAATGGAGGAATAGACTGCGAGCCATATGTGACAGAATGGCGCAATAGAACAGTGAATGATTGAAGGAGACTAATAAAGCCAATGTTGGCACACAGTGTTTTCAGGCAGTGTGGGGCAGGAGATTTGGGCCACACCCAATCATTCCTTCTGGTTTGTCTGTCTTTGTGTGCTACTGTTCTGGCCACATTACATGCAACCATTCCCCAGCGGTGTGTTAGGGAGAACGGTCATATACAGTGACTAGGGATACCATGTGAGTTCAGGGTGCCATTGGGGGGGGGGGGGGGGTGTTGACCCTGCACCCCCCTCCCTTCTCAACAAGCATGTGGTATATGAGACTTTCTTCTTTGATCACTGGCAGTAAGCTTTGGCGGAAAGTCCTGGTTGTTCGTCCATTTGGACTTTGGCTTTGTGCCAGGGCCTGAGTTTTGCGTGTACATCCCTATTACTGGCCTGTTTGTGTGCAGTTGGTTGTTCCTTGCCGCTTGGGCAGATGCATTCCGAATTCGAAGAAATGCCCCAATTAGTTGACTCCTACAACATACTTGTTGGGGAGGCAGTGGGTCTGTTCTTGTTTTTCCCACAGTGGGACCCCAGAACCCACACCGGGAGACTAATCAGGGTTTTCTTTTGGCAACAAGCAGAGATAATTGGGCTTGCTGTAATGCCAAGCACACTTGTTAGGCAGATAGACTGGCCATTTCTGCACCACTTGGTGGTGAACTGATGTAAGACAAGCTGGATGTTGTGAGGGCTCTTTGGGAGCGAGTGAACAGTGACGAGGAACAGATAGATCGTTACGGTCTGAGGAGAATGGCACTGCGAAGAGTTACAAGGGGATCTGGCTGATGCTCGACACTCAGGGGTAAGGTGAGATGGATATCCAGTCAGACTCTTACTGGTACCATCGGAATTTTAATTTTTCGCTTGCTGCTGAAGATGGAGACGGAACACTAATGGGGGTGTCTCGAGTGCAGAGATGTTGATACCTTATTCAACATTCATTCAGCATGAAACTTCTAAGGGTGAAGGCAGATGAAAAAGATATAGCCAAACATGTGGAAAATGATATGTATATTGTCTGTGCTACTTCAGGTGGTGTACTTCACTGCAACGTTCCCGTATTTGGTGCTGGTTATTCTGTTGGTCCGAGGAGTGACACTTCCAGGCTCTCTTGACGGCATTTATTTCTTCATCAAGCCACAGTGGTCTCTACTTCTGGAAGCAAAGGTGATACTGTGTTTTGTTTTGTTTATCCAATGCTTTTAAGTTTTTAAAATGCATTATTTAAAAAAAAAAAATTTTTTTTAATATCTGCACTATAAATTTAGCGTGAATCAAGAGATTAAGAAAAGAGGCAAGCGTTGGGTAGGACAGACATTGAGAAAACCTGAGAACATTATAACTAGAATGTTTATGCACAAGAACCCACAGGGGCCTAGAAATAAAGGCAGACTAAAAAAACAAATGGAAGAGGGAACTAAACAGTAAAGTTGAAAAAATACAGAAGACATGGGGTGAGCTGTATGCAGTAGCAAAGGATCAGATGACTTGGTGTGAGTTGGTTGAGGGACCTGTGATTCATTGTGGAATAAAGAGCAGAAAATACAAACGAAAATGTGTCCATAGATTGCCCTGGTACCATTTGCCACAGAGAACCACACTGAAGAAAAACAGTCATGCAGTAAATGTGTGACTGATCTTGAATTTCCGGTGGAAAGATGTTGTACAGAAGCTGAACAATTTTGTTTATCCATTTCAGTGAAAGGATTCATTTCTATGCTTGTTTATATTGTTGATTCTGTTCATTCAACACTTCAGAACTGCGAGTGATGAAATGCAGCAAAATATGTCAGGCTGTAAATTGTGTAATGTATTGTTTGTGTCCACATTATTTAAATTTACAATGGGCAAACATTGTTTGGAAAATATAGATATAACACACTCAGACTGGGGTTAATTTCCTCTGACATAACTGATGCAAAATCACATACCTGATGCTTGAGCAAGGCTTAGGAGGAGTTAATTTGGAATATGAGTGATGCTTACCTTATTCAACTCAATACTCAGGAGTAGTCAGAGTAGATGCAATAGATCATAATCTATAAATATGAGTGTTTCATATGTGTATGTGTATATATATATATATATATATATATATATATATATATATATATATATATATATATATATATATATATATATATATATATATATATATATATATATATGTGTGTGTGTGTGTGTGCGTGCATGCATGCGTGTGTGTGTGTTTATATATATATACATGCATAGAGACATAGAGAAAAGTGTCCACCTGTTACTGACCTCATCCAGTTGTTGCTCTTCCTAGAGCAGGAGTGGCAACTAATCTCACAAATGACTCTAACAACTGTTGTCTTATCAATGAGCAAGCAGTGCAGTGAATGTGTTCAGTGGACACACTCAATTATAAATTAGTTAACTTTTGTTTGAAGATTCTGAGTTTTTACAAAGAGAACTAAAACGATTGACGTAGATTTTCTTGCTAATGAAATCATTTCTTTGCTGTGATGCATTGTGCAGTGAAAACCATTTATGATATATGAGTTTCATAATTATATCTTTTTTTTTTTTTTTTTACAAAAAAAAAAAAAAAAACAGCATATGAATTTGTAAGTGGTCTTTCAAATTTGTTTTTTAGCAGTATATTTTCTGAAGTAAAAAATAACTGCATTGGGATACAAAAGGAAAACGCAGGATGCTGATATCATGTTTCTCAGTTATACTTCTGATTCAAGGTTGCATTGCAACCAGAGAGCCAAGTAGAAGAATACTTAGCAGAGGGAAGGAGATGCACAAGATGGAACAGTCTTCATTTGTTTCTTCTTAGTGTTCATTGGCTGTAAATGTCAGCAGAAAATTCTGGTTGCTTGTCCACTTCTGGACGTTGGTCTTGTTCCAGAACTTGAGTTTTGCTTGCACATCTGTTTGACAAAATGTCAACAGAGAGAGCAAACTGAAGTATCTGGGAATTACATTTGACAGGAGCCTGTCATTTAAGGACCATGTGGAGAGTGTTGTGACGAGATGCTAAAAAGGACTTAGTGCACTTAAGACTATGGCTGCAATTGACATAAAGCAGAGAATGTTTTTCACACTATATCAGCACCTGATCCTGTCAGTGGTTGATTATGGCCTGGGACTGCTTACCGTCTCAAAGAGTCAGATGGACAAACTAGAGCGCATACAGAATGCGGCTATGCGGGTCATTCTGGGTTGCACCAGAGACACCCCAGTGGTGTGTATGCGATACATCCTTGGTTTGCCGATGGTTGCAGGTAGGCACAAGGTGCTGCAGGTGAAGTCATATCTCAGGGTAGCTGCAGACACAGACCACCCTCTGCATGAAGCTCTGGGTGCAGTTAAGGGTCAGCGGCTGATAAGAGGGAGGTCATGGATAGCTCAGGCAGAAGACACGATCAGACAGGTTTGCATCCTTGAAAACATAAGGCGAGGAGAGGAGTGGGTCAAAGTGCCACCTGAACAGTCAGACTTGTGTAGAGTCATAATCACGCTGAGCCGGGAATGCAGAGACTGGCCAGCAGGTGCCACAGAGGTGGAAATTCAGCAGTTAATTAAAGATAATGCTCGCTCAGAGGATTTGATCATTTACACAGACGGTTCAATGTCAAGAGGCAAAAGAAGTGCTTGGGGCATTTTAGCAAAAGTTTATAGTTGACGTTTGGTGCAGGAGAGCATAGCATATGATACCATAACATCCAGCTTAAGAATGGAGGTGGAGGCGGTCACTGCAGCTTTCCGCTGGCTAGATAAAACGACACACACACACATCGTGATTGTAACTGATTCAGAAAGCATGCTGAGGAAGATCAGAACAGGTATGCTTCATGCAGAGTGGCATGCTTCGCTGTGGAGGACACAGGTGAGGAGTATTGTCTGGATTTTTTCAGCGGGGCATGCTGGTGTGTTGGGAAATGAACAGGCGGACAGACTGGCTGGCTCTGCACAACTTGGTGGAATACTGATACATGATAAGGCAGACGTGGTTAGTGTCTTGTGTAAGAGCGTGTACAGTTTGGAGGAGTAGATGGATCACCACAGTCTGGTGAGATTGATGCAGCAGGGAGAGACGAGAGGTTCTGGCAGATGCTCGAGGCTCAGAAGAAAGGCAAGACGGACGTTTAATCAGAATTCTACTAGCAGCATTAGTATCGGAACTCTTCGCTGGCTGCTGAAGATGGGGATGGAACGCTTATGGGAATGCCCTGAGTGCTGTGATGTCAGTTCTTGAATCAAATCAAATCAATCAAATCTGTTTGACAGATCTGGCTTATTTGTATGCAGTCTCTTGGTTCCTGGCCTCCCCGACTTTGAAGGAAACGCACCTGATGAGTCACTCTTTAAGACACTCTTTGTTTGAGCTGTGTGTTTATCCCCCCCCCCCCCCCCCCCCCCCCCCCACACACACACACACACACAAACACACACACTAAATAGGCCTCCAGAACCCACAAGGGGAAGATACAACAATGGTCTAAAGAACAACCTTACAGAAATAAAAAAAAAACTAACTTACACAATACATTATACCCCCCCCCCCCTTTTTTCCCTTTTTTTCCCCACCCTTTTCCTCCCCTACACACTTTGCTGTTGTATGTGAAGGAAGAACAGAAAAAATTACTTCTGACTGTTCTTCTGGTTTGCTTGTAAAGTAAATGTTAGTTGAGTTTGTTTATGTTGTCATCTGTAATTTCATGTTTAAATATTTCTGCACTGAAGGTCTGGGTATATGCAGCAGCTCAGAACTTCAACTCTTTAGGTGTAGCTTTTGGAGGCCTCATCACCATGTCTAGTTACAGCAAGTTCAACAACAACATTGTCAGGTGAGTATTTATGCTGTTAGTGAGTTGAGAAACCACCATCACAGCACTTGGGACATTCCCATAAGGGCTTCCTCTCCATCTGGAGCAGCCAGCACACAGTTGAATTCCCATTGTATCAGCAAGCACTTGGGACATTCCCATAAGGGCTTCCTCTCCATCTGGAGCAGCCAGCACACAGTTGAATTCCCATTGTATCAGCAAGCACTTGGGACATTCCCATAAGGGCTTCCTCTCCATCTTGAGCAGCCAGCACACAGTTCAATTCCCATTGTATCAGTACCAGTCCCGGGCTTGATTGTATGTTCGTCCTGCCTTTCCCTTGAAGGAGTAACTGGCCAAATGGTTAGAGCAATAGGCTCTCATTCAGGAAACCTGGGTTCACATCCTCGGAAGATGATAGGCATTTTCTGTGTCTGGGGCAAAAATAAAAAAAAATTGAATCTGACGACTGCATTAGCAGTGCCGCCCTAAATGCTCAGGCTGAAATTCCATCTAGGCAACACTGCTTTATTCAAGTGTTAAGAGCAGGCAGTGAAGACATCTTATCACACATATGAAAGAGATAATCATAAACATTAGAAATTCCATCTAGGCAACACTGCTTTATTCAAGTGTTAAGTGCAGGCAGTGAAGACATCTTATCACACATATGAAGGAGATAATCATAAACATTAGAAATTCCATCTAGGCAACACTGCTTTATTCAAGTGTTAAGTGCAGGCAGTGAAGACATCTTATCACACATATGAAAGAGATAATCATAAACATTAGAAATTTCATCTAGGCAACACTGCTTTATTCAAGTGTTAAGTGCAGGCAGTGAAGACATCTTATCACACATATGAAAGAGATAATCATAAACATTAGAAATTCCATCTAGGCAACACTGCTTTATTCAAGTGTTAAGTGCAGGCAGTGAAGACATCTTATCACACATATGAAAGAGATAATCATAAACATTAGAAAGATACATTCACAGACATCATAAAGAGACAAGTTATCATTTTGTGGTCGTTATGAGAAGAAGGAAACTGGAACAAGTTGTGATCACTGGAAAGATCTGTGGAAAAAAAAAAGAGACAGAGAAAGGCAGCATGCGAAGATTCTTGACAGCCTTTTGTCATTGCGTGGAGAGGTGTCAGCATACGAACTGATAATACTGTTGAAGATGGAGAGGCATGGTTGCCCACGCTAGTCCACAAGCACTTGATGATGATGATGATGAAAGACTATACAGTATACTAAACAGTATACTGCTAAAAAGGTTGAGTTTGTTGTGTTTTCATAGTGGTGACTGCAGACTATCAGTGCACCGTATTCATAAGGCTGTTGTATGTTTATCTTTGCATTCAGTTGAAAATTACACTAGCGGTCTTTAGTTTTTGTTTAGAGAAGCAGCTGGTTGAGCAGTTAACTCTTTTAGTACCAACAAGAAACATTTCTCTGATATGCTAGTGAAGACAAATTCATTATTAAAGTTCATCAATGTATTACTTTGTCAATAGCAATAAAACAATCAATAGCAGTGATCATTGGACAAGCCAGATTTCTTGAGTGTGTTCTGACAAAAAAAAACAACAACATACTAAGCTAGAAAGGGGTTTCAGCAGAGTGATTCACACATCCTGCTTTGTTTAGGACTCAAAAAGTTAAGAATGCTGGTCTCTAATAATACATTAAAGAATTTTTTTTAAAAAGTGTTTGTAGGATGATCCTGCAGAGACATGCTAATATTCACTATTGTTGATGCTATTATTGTCTGTCTTGGCAAAGTTAGCAGCAGTGTTGGCTTGTAGATAAAATTTTGAGGTAACAGTAGCGAGTGCTGCACTTCTGCAGTGCCTGCTCCTGTTCCACCACTGTTAATAATATTGTTGTTTGGTTATCATTACATTGAACTTAATAATCCCCTTGTGGGTTCCGCCACGCTGTTTTTTTTTGGGGGGGGGGGGGAAGAATAGGCTTACTGTTCCTTAACTCTTTGGGTCCCAGAGGGTTAAGCATCACAGGCCCAAGGATTAGTAGAGAGAGACGTAAAACTGTGAACATATGATGCGTTCCTTGGGACTCAAAGAGTTAATGAGCATGTCGTAAAAGACATTATTATTGTTTTGAACCAAATTGAAAGGATATCACAGCCTAGCTGTAAACCACAGCACAGTATGCCAACCACCCTTTTACAGGTGATGGCAGAAGTAGAAGAAGAAAATCTGTGTGACTTTAGTGTCTGATGCCATGATCTAATCTACAAGGATGTGCTGACACTGGCCCTACAATACTCACTGCTGTGTAACAAACATGTCATAAAAGGCATCTAACTAATGTGTTGGGTCAGAAGGTGCTGATATTACAGCCTAGCTGTAAACCTCCAAACATATGGCAATGAGCCTTTTAAAGGTAAAGACAAAAGAAGTAGAAGAATTGTATGGAAGTTACGAGTCTGTAGTGTTTGATATCATGATCCGCTGGCTCTACAGAGATGTTCTGACACTGGCATTTGTCGATGCCGTAACCTGTCTACTGGCTGGCTTCACTATCTTCTCCATTCTGGGCAACCTGGCACTGAACCAAGGAAAGCTGGTTGAGGATGTTGTTGAGGAAGGTCAGTATTGATCGTGTTCAGGTCCAGGGTTGCCTTGCTAAAACAAGCACTTCCTTGTGAATGTAGCTGTTTTTTTTTATTATTAAATTTTATTTCAGCTAGAAGGATTCCTTTGTTTGCTTTATTGAATTATTCTTGTTTGTAGCATTGTCCAGCTACAGACCTCAGTTACCAAGTGAATTCCTGGGAAGTAAAGGCGGCTGATTTGATGTTGACCACATCACCCACCAAGTGGTCTGTAAACTGTAGGCCTAGCTCTAAATGCCCAGTACACCTGAAGGTATCATGAGAATCAATCAGGCAAATAGTAATGTGGTTTCTCCTAATGGTACCCCACTCCGAGACGTGGAGTCGTACACCCATTTGGACAGTAATGTAGATAAAGATGAGGAACTGACATAGATATTAATATAAGATTACAAATGGCAAGAGGAGCTTTCACAGCAGTAGGAAATTTGTGGTCAAAAGAAATTTAGAGAAATACTAACTTAAAAATTTTCCATCTAAGTCAGAACTTTTGAATGGGGCGGAAACATAGAGAACAACTAAGGCAGTTACTAACAAACTACAGACATTCATTACATGTGCCTGCACAGAATAGAGGGAATTAAATGGTATGATACAATCACTAATGTAGAGCTTTGGGAGAAAACTAAGCAAGCTCCAGTGGACCAAGAGGTGAAGAAAAGACGCTGGTTTTGGATAGGACACATATTAAGAAAACTGGAGAACAGTATAACTTTAATGTCTTTGCATTGGAACCCACAGGGGCATAGAAGGAAGGCCAAAAAACACATTGAGAAGGGAGCTGGAGAATGAAGTTAAAAAGATGGGGAGGACATGGAGAGAGCTGCCTGCGATAGCCAAGGATAGAATGACTTGGCGTGAGTTGGTTGAGGGCCTATGCTCCATTGGGGGCTAGAAAGGCAGAAGAAGACACCTGAAGGTGTGGAAAAGGGCCCTTTACTTACTGACCAGCTACAGACTTTTGGCTGCTTGTGGAGTCCCGGCTGTTTATCAGCTTCTTCACTTTGGTCTTGTTCCTGGACTTGAGTGTTATGTGCACACCTGTTTTACAATTTTGGCTAATTTGTGTGCAGGCTGTTTCTTGCCTCTCAGGCAGATGCATTGACTTCAAAGGAAATGCCAGCCCTGTCTGCCTTGTCCAGGGATCCAGTAATTCAACTGTACATTAGGATGACTGCAAAGAGGATACCAACCATTGCTGAGAAATGAAAAGGCAGATGCACCTGCAAAATCTGGAGAGAATCTGCTGCAGTCCCATCCTGCCAAAAGCTTCAAGTATGCAAGCAGAGCCCATCTTTTAAGATTGTCTACATTGTTTCAATCAGAGCGAAGAAATCTGGCCGTCCAGAAGTGATCCTTTGAGATGAGCTTTTAGGGATTGGTGAATCCTAAAATGCACTTTCCTGTTTGTGTTGGACAGTTATATCCAAAATGTGACATAGCATTAAAAGGAAAAATGCTTAACCAAATCAATAAATTCAAGTATTTCTGGACATTGATAACATCAGATGGAGGATGTGTGACAGAAATTAGGAGCAGAATTGGCCAGGCTGTGGCAGCATTTCAGAAGATAAAAAGTGTATTATGTAATAAATCGCTCTCATTAAACATCAGAAAACGAGTATTGAAATGTTATATTGAGCCTCTTCTGTTGTATGGTAGTCAATCTGTTAATGTGAGCAAACAAATTAAGAGTTTAGAGGCAACTAAGATGTTGTTTTTGAGAAGAATGTTGCGAATACCTTGGACTTCCAGAAAAACTAACAATGTTGGCCTGGAAATGGCTAATAAAAGTAGAATATTATGTGCAACAAGGAGAAAAAGACAAAGTTCTTTGGTCATTTATTGAGAAAAGGAGCACTAGAAAATATTCTGATACTGGAAAGATCACTGATAGAAGAGGCAGACCAAGAGCAATGATGGTGGATGACTTGAGACGGTGACAGGGAGGAAAATCATCAGTTGGAATTGATCCAGAACACCAGAGACTAAAATCTATTGAGATTGCGTGAATGCCTACGCCAGCTGGCTAGCCACTTGATGATGACTAGAACAGATAAACAGATACAAAACATTGAGTGATAAAGACGAAGAACTGTCCTATTGCAGTTGTGCAATTGAAGAGGTTAGAAACTAGGATTTAACTCTGCTATGATATAGGGTTGTGTGCAAGCAGGACATGAATGATACCGGATTTGTGGGAACAGGATGCCATGGACTGTATTGCATGGAAGGGGGAATGTCATGAAAGGAACAAAGGAGAAAATTATTGCAGACAGTTTAAGAGCTGAGGGTCTGAAAATAAACATGTTGAATGCATACTATGACAACAATCCCATGCTCTAAATTGTGGAAGACCTTTCTAAACTCTTTTAGTCCATGGGGATTTAGCCTGAGATGCCCAAGGGATAGTATAGCAAAACATATAATTGGTGCATCCTGCGTCTATTGGGCTTCCAGGTAGGAACCTATGAATACACAATCCTTTCCTTTGGGACTGAAAAAGTTATTTCAGGTGGGTCTTGCTTGTCACAGTCACCATGGGCTGTGATTCCCTATTCTTCTTCTGCCTTTCTAACCCCCAATAGAGAATAGGCCCCAAACCAGCTCACGCCTAGTCGCTCTATCCTTCGCTATCGCAAGCAGCACTCCCCATGTCATCCCCTATTTTTTTTATTTCACTCTCCATGTGTTTTTTGGTCTTCCTTTAATCTTAAAATACTAATCCTATAATGTTTCATTTCCCTTAATACTTCCAATGTTCTTCCTACATCATACAAAGTTCTAACATTCCAGGTGCTAGTTCTGGAGGTTTTCCTAGGTGAAATGTGATTCCCTATAGCAGAATAAAACACTCTTATCTGAAAGGACAGAAACATGCCGCCCCCTCAAGAGAAATAGAATTGAATGGGTGTAACATCTGGCAGTGGGTGTAACATCTGGCAGTGGGTGTAACATCTGGCAGTGGGTGTAACATCTGGCAGTGGGTGTAACATCTGGCAGTGGGTGTAACATCTGGTAGTGGGTGTAACATCTGGCAGTGTGGTGTAACATCTGGCAGTGGGTGTAACATCTGGCAGTGGGTGTAACATCTGGCAGTGGGTGTAACATCTGGCAGTGGGTGTAACATCTGGCAGTGGGTGTAACATCTGGCAGTGGGGGTGTAACATCTGGCAGTGGGTGTTAACATCTGGCAGTGGGTGTAACATCTGGCAGTGGGTGTAACATCTGGCAGTGGGTGTAACATCTGGCAGTGGGTGTAACATCTGGCAGTGGGTGTAACATCTGGCAGTGGGTGTAACATCTGGTAGTGGGTGTAACATCTGGCAGTGTGGTGTAACATCTGGCAGTGGGTGTAACATCTGGCAGTGGGTGTAACATCTGGCAGTGGGTGTAACATCTGGCAGTGGGTGTAACATCTGGCAGTGGGTGTAACATCTGGCAGTGGGTGTAACATCTGGCAGTGGGTGTAACATCTGGCAGTGGGTGTAACATCTGACAGAGGCAAGAGGACCATCCGCCTGTCGCCATGTGATCCATGAGACCTTGTAGTATCTTAAGGATTCTTTCATGGTACAGGGATGGAGTGCTCTGATATATCTGGGAATATACTCTCTGTATTTCTCTTTCTCCACATTCACCCCCCACCTTCCTCATTTTATTTTCCTCTCACTCTCTGACCCTCTTTTACATTTTTCTTGCTTCCTGTCTTCACAGCATTTGCATTTTATTGACACTTTTTTGTATCTGTATAGACAATAATGTTTTAATGAGGCGTGTAAATCACAGCCTGTTAAGACCAGGATTAAGGATCCTCCTCTCCATAGCACAAAGCCTGGTCAGTCAGGGGATGTAGCCTACACTCGGCAATCAGGGGATCTGACGGACACTCAGCAATCAAGGGGTCTGACTGACACTCAGCAATCAGGGGATCCGGCCGACACTCAGCATTCAGGGGATCTTGCCTACACTCAGCAGTCAGGGGATCTGGCTAACACTCAGCAGTCAGGGGATCTTGCCTACATTCAGCAGTCATGGGATCTGGTCAACACTCAGCAGTCATGGTATCTGGCTAACACTCAGCAGTCAGGGGATCTGGTCAACACTCAGCAGTCATGGTATCTGGCTAACACTCAGCAGTCAGGGGATCTGGTCAACACTCAGCAGTCAGGGGATCTGGTCAACACTCAGCAGTCAGGGGATCTTGCCTACACTCAGCAGTCATGGGATCTGGCTAACACTCAGCAGTCAGGGGATCTTGCCTACACTCAGCAGTCATGGGATCTGGCTAACACTCAGCAGTCAGGGGATCTGGCTAACACTCAGCAGTCATGGGATCTGGCTAACACTCAGCAGTCAGGGGATCTGGTCAACACTCAGCAGTCAAGGGATCTGGCTAACACTCAGCAGTCAGGGGATCTGGTCAACACTCAGCAGTCAGGGGATCTGGTCAACACTCAGCAGTCAGGGGATCTGGTCAACACTCAGCAGTCAAGGGATCTTGCCTACACTCAGCAGTCAGGGGATCTGGTCAACACTCAGCAGTCAGGGGATCTGGTCAACACTCAGCAGTCAGGGGATCTTGCCTACACTCAGCAGTCAGGGGATCTTGCCTACACTCAGCAGTCAGGGGATCTGGTCAACACTCAGCAGTCAGGGGATCTGGTCAACACTCAGCAGTCAGGGGATCTGGCCTACACTCAGCATTCAGGGGATCTTGCCTACACTGAGCATTCAGGGGTAAGGTAAGACATTCAGTGAGACTGCTACTGATGCCAGCAGAACTGCCTGCTGAATATGGAGACAGAGCACTTATGGGAATGTCCCGACTGTAATGGTGTTGATTTTCAACTCAGCTTATCTCGTATTCATGTTGGTGTTTGAGACTTAGGCGTTGCGAACGTGCTTTATAATGCCGGGATGCCGGGTTTGATCCCAGCTGCATATGATTTGTGTTGCGTTGGTTTTGACTGTGGTACCGAGAGCTGACCCTTTAGGAAGCAGTGGCAAACTATGAAACGTAAAATTTGCCTAGAATAACCACAACAGCTAAAAAATGCTGATATGAGTTCTGCAGCGTCCCGTAATGGATATGCAATAAAATCCATCTCATATAAAAAACTCAATATTCCATTTTTTTCTTCAGGTCCTGGTTTAGTTTTTGTTATATACCCTCAAGCCTTCAACACCATGCCGGTCTCACAACTGTTTGCATTTCTGTTCTTCTTCATGTTGGTGTGCCTTGGCATTGATAGCCAGGTGAGTCTTGTTGACTTTTTTCAATTTGTTTTTTTTTTATTTTTCATAAAGCAAAGAGGCTTTTACTTTCACTATATCAAAGTTGTTGTCTGTGGTTTGGTTGTTACAAACACACCTCGTAAATCTGAGATGCCGGGTCCAGTCCCAGCTGCTGGTGATTTGACAGCAAAAAGCCTTGCATTGGTTTTGGCAGTGTTATTGAGAGCCGACTGTTCAGTAAGCAGTGGCAAACTACTGAAAGTAAAATTTCCTAGTGAAACCACAAACAACATGCTGTAAAGGACACTTAACTAACTTTAACTATCACTTCACACAAGCCGTAGTTGACATTTATTGAATGAATTATTGTTACATGAAGTGACCATGAAGTGAATTTAAATATCTGGGAACAATCATATCATCAGATGGAAAATGTGTGACAGAGATTAATAGCGGTATAGGTCAAACAAAAGGCTGCGTTTCAGAAAATGAAAAATATCTGATGCAGTAAATCGCTCCCATTTAGTGTCAGAAAGAGGGTACTAAAATGTTACATAGAACCTGTTCTGCTGTATGGCAGCAAATCTTGGAATCTTACTGAATAAATTAAGAAGAATTAGGAAGCAACAGAGATGTGGTTTCTGAGATGAATGCTACGAATACCTTGGACGGTCAGAGTAACTAACACAGATTGCTTGACAGAGGCTAATAAAAGTAGATCTCTATATACAACAATAAGAAAGAGACAAACACTGTTCTTTGGCCACATAGTGAGAAGAGAGAAATTGGAGAACATCGTGACAACTGGAAAGATTAGTGGAAAAAGGGGTAGAGGCAGACCAAGAGAGATGATGCTGAATGAGCTAAAATAATGGCATCAAAAAGCTGTTCCAGGCAACCAGGGATCGTGATCTGAGGAGAGGCATGAGTGCTTACACCAGTTGGCAGGGCACATGATGATGATTATGATAATGATGAAGTGACCAGCTGCTTTCCTCTCTGTCTTAAAAGAGAGTCTTTTGTGCCCTTTTGATGAGCATGAGGGAACTCTGTAGCCTTGTGTGGTTAGAAAACCAAAATGAAACTTTGACTCCCATAACAAGCATCTCGTACAAAGCAATTATTTAGGGGTGTTTCCTTCGAAGTCAGAGTGCATCTGCCTGAGAGACAAGGAACAAACAGTCTGCATAACGAAAAGCACAAATATTGCAGCCATGATATAAACATGTACAACACATTATATCTGTGGATGAACGAAGAAGAAGAAGATTTCTGGGAGATTTTGCTAGATGTAGAGTTTTGTGCTTTGTGTGATTCCTCTGTAAGTTAATAGCCACTTCTCAAAGAAAGACTGAGCCATATGGGATCAAATCTGGGGCACTGTCACTGATCATTGCGCCTTTTGAAAATCCTTTGAGTATGATTGATCATGCCAGTGTGTTGTTTTCACAGTAGTTGATGTTTTGCCATTCCATTTTTCTTTGACATTTCAGTTTGCTTCTGTTGAGGTGATTGTTACAACGATTCAGGACCACTTTTACGGGCAAGTTAAACGTTACCTCAAGAGAAAGGAGGTGCTTGTTGGGCTTGTGTGTTTTGTATCGTTTCTCTGTGGACTTCCAAATATTACTCAGGTTTGTATGGAATTATTCATCGTCATTGTCATCTTCTTCTTTCTGTTCCTTTTTCTTCATCTTCTTCTTCATTTTTTCCAACATCATCATCATATTTATCATCATCATCATCTTCCTTTTCTTTTTTCTTCATGATTAACTTTTTTCTGGTTTTGTCTTGTTTGTTTGTTTGATTTTTGTATAATCATCAGCTTCCTCTTTTTTTTTCTTCATCATCTTCTTTTTCTTTTTTCATCATTTTTTCTTTTCTCCCCCGTCCCATCATCATCATCTTTTTTTTTCCATAAATTTCCTCTGTTTTTATCATATTCCTCTTTTTCCCTATTGTCATAATCATCATAATTTTCTTTTTCATGATAATCATCATCTTTTTCCTACATCATCGTCATCTTCCTCTTCTTTTTTCCTTCATGGTCATCTTCCTCTTCTTTTTTCCTTCATGGTCATCTTCGTCTTCTTTTTTCCTTCATTGTCGTTATCCTCCCCCCCCCCCCCCCCCCCCCCTCTTTTTTAATGATCATATTCTTTTTTCTTCATCATCATCGTCACCATCTTGCCCTTCTGTTTTCTTCATTATCATCATCATCATCATTGTCATTTTTTTTCTTCTTTATCACCAAGAATACCCTGGTGTCAGCTGGCAAAGAAATCCATTCTGACGAAATGTAACACAGAGATAGGGAAAGGAAGACCATGCAAAAGACAGAACCATGGCATCAAGAACACCCCGTAAGGAAATGTAGCTCTACTTATACAGCACATTAGAAAGAGCACACAGACAGAAGATCTTGACTCCTCTCCCCTACAAACACTTTTAATACATAAATAAAGGAAAAGAAGAAGATGTAAAACATTTTTACATGTTAACTTTAATTCTGTAATGTATTTTAGCATAATTGCCTCTTGTTTTTTCCCCAGGGAGGCTTTTATTTCTTCCAACTGATCGATTACTATGCAGCAGCTCTTTCCCTCATGGTGCTAGCATTTTTTGAAGTTGTGGGCATCTGTTGGTTTTATGGTGCGTACGTGGTATTGTTACTGTTAATGGATGCTATAACTGATTGTGTATGAGATGAATGGAGATACCTTGGTACCAGATAACATGGGATTAACATTTAATGTGAGAGATATGTCAGATTATAACAGTGTGAAAACAGCATCAGATTAACAGTGTGAGAGATAAATCACATTGTAGCAGTTTTAAAATAGCATCAGGTTAACAGTGTGAGAGATAAATCACATTATAGAAATGTTAAAACAGCATCAGGTTAACAGTGTGAGAGATGTGGTTTCTGAAACCTTATAGAAATGTTAAAACAGCATCAGGTTAACAGTGTGAGAGATATACCACCTTATAGAAATGTTAAAACAGCATCAGGTTAACAGTGTGAGAGATATACCACTTTATAGAAATGTTAAAACAGCATCAGGTTAACAGTGTGAAAGATATGTCAAATTATAGCAGTGTTAAAACATCATCAGAATGATATGTTTCGTATGAGAGATAAGTCAAATTTAAGTAGTGTTTTTAGACAGCATCAGATTAACATTCATTGTTAGTTGAGTTGAGTCAAGAATTGGCACAACATTCAGGGCATTCCCAAGCGTGAGCATTCAGTGTGAGAGGTAATAAAGTAATGTTTTTAGACAGCATCAGAATAATGTTCAGTGTGAGAGGTAATAAAGTAATGTTTTTAGACAGCATCAGATTAACGTTCAGTGTGAGAGGTAATAAAGTAATGTTTTTAGACAGCATCAGATTAATGTTCAGTGTGAGAGGTAATAAAGTAATGTTTTTAGACAGCATCAGATTAACGTTCAGTGTGAGAGGTAATAAAGTAATGTTTTTAGACAGCATCAGATTAATGTTCAGTGTGAGATGTAATAAAGTAATGTTTTTAGACAGCATCAGATTAATGTTCAGTGTGAGAGGTAATGAAGTAAAGTTTTTAGACAGCATCAGATTAATGTTCAGTGTGAGAGGTAATAAAGTAATGTTTTTAGACAGCATCAGATTAACGTTCAGTGTGAGAGGTAATAAAGTAATGTTTTTAGACAGCCTCAGATTAATGTTTAGTGTGAGAGGTAATAAAGTAAAGTTTTTAGACAGCATCAGATTAACGTTCAGTGTGAGAGGTAATAAAGTAATGTTTTAGACAGCATCAGATTAACGTTCAGTGTGAGAGGTAATAAAGTAATGTTTTAGACAGCCTCAGATTAACGTTTAGTGTGAGAGGTAATAAAGTAATGTTTTAGACAGCCTCAGATTAACGTTCAGTGTGAGAGGTAATAAAGTAATGTTTTTAGACAGCATCAGATTAATGTTCAGTGTGAGAGGTAATAAAGTAATGTTTTAGACAGCATCAGATTAATGTTCAGTGTGAGAGGTAATAAAGTAATGTTTTTAGACAGCATCAGATTAATGTTCAGTGTGAGAGGTAATAAAGTAATGTTTTTAGACAGCATCAGATTAACATTTAGTGTGAGAGGTAATAAAGTAATGTTTTTAGACAGCATGTTTTTTTTTTTTTTTTTGGTCGTTTAGAAGAAGAGACAGCTGTGGTAGCACAACTGGGAGGATAACATCAAGAGATGGATTAACAGTCCTCTCGTACTGCCGTGACAAAAAAAAAAAAACCTGAAGAAAAACAGAAGCAAACAGAACAGAGATCCGTTGTTGCGAAACTTTATTGTGGAGATGGCTCCTGGGAAGTCAAGTCAGCCAGCACCCATTGAGTACCAGTTAGTTGCATACAAAATGGAGCCAGCGCTATGTACCTAATATGTTTCAAAGATATATATATATGTGTGTGCATGTATCTCTCTCTCTCTCTCTCTCTCTCTCTCTCTCTCTCTCTCTCTCTCTCTCTCTCTCTATCTCTCTCTATCTCTTTCTCTCTATCTATCTATCTCTCTCTCTCTCAGTTAGAAGAGCTGCTGGAGTAACAAGCAGAGAAACAGTTAAAGATGAATAAATTAGAAGACTAGGAACTGAAACCAGTCATAATGTTTATTAAAGAGCAACAGATGAGATGGTTTGCCGATCTGAAGAGAAAGCTCTGGTACTAGCTGCCTTAGAGAGCCACACAGAAGAAATATAATCGACACACAGCAGGTGGAAAACCACATCAAGAACAGCCTTAAAGAAATGAGGACCAGCTTATAGAGCATATTAGAAAGAGTTCACAGAAGATCCTCAAGTATCCTCCCAACATTTCACTGAGGTAGCTGGCCAAAATGAAGAAGATAAAGAAGACCTTGAAGATTGGAAAGTGCCATTAATTTTTCTTATAGTATTTACAGTTTTTTTTTAATTTTTTTATTATATAGGTGCAAGAAATCTGGCTGACAACATACGTCAGATGACAGGCACAAAGCCAAACATTTTCTTTGTTGCCTGTTGGTATGTTCTGTCACCACTTCTAATTTTGGTATGTATAAGTTTGTTTTGTATCCTTTTGTTCATTGTATGTGCTTATATGAGTTCTGGAGATAAAAGCTTACTAATTACCAAATACATAATAAAAAAATAATCTCTTTTTCGTTATATTGTCCTAAAATTGGGTTTAAAAAATGACAGTAAAACGCATTTGTCAGAATGTTGTCTGGTTGTCTAGATGACAAAGATCTTTAACTTTTCCTTTAACTTTCTTTTAACTTTCCACTTCTTATTGTTCATTTGTATTCTGGATCAAACAAAGATTGGAATTCAAATATCTAGTTAGCGTATTTGCAGAGGGTGGCAGACTCAGTAGATAGATAGAAGCCAGAGTACGGAAGGCAAACACTATCACCTGCTAACTAGTTCAGCTGCTTAGACACCCAACTGTCTCCCTTTAGTCCCTTCCAGCAAAACAACAAATCATCCCTGCTTTATGCAATCAGTGTCAAACACGGACAATGAATAGGGCACTAGAACAAAAAATAACTACCTGGAAAATGTACCGACTTCATAAGGTTACTAACAACGCAAGAAGGGACAGGGTTACGAATATCACCAGTAGAGAGAACACTGGAATAAGACTGTGTCTAAATTATATTGACAGATGAAGAATGAAATGATTCGGCTTTCTAGTTAAAATGCAGCCAGACCAAACTGCAGAACTTTTGGGAAGAAGGTGAGGGAAAGACCAAGACAGAAATGGATAAATGGTGTAGCTGAAACCTGCAAAAAGATCAAAGAATCCATCACCCATTCTGCCTGAGAAGAGAACAAAAACAGGAAACCATGACGCTGGGCCACAAACTGGTATCAATGAGAAGAAGAGATTGTGGATCTTCTTCTGTTCGTGTTGCCCAGCTGTAAACTGCAGCAGAAAATTCTAGTTGTTCATCCACTTCTAGATATTAGTCTTGTTTTAAAATTTTAGTTTTGCTTACACATCCATTTTTACTGTTGTGGCTTATTTGTATGCAGGCTGTTGGTTCCTCAACTTTCAGGCAGATGTACTCTGACTTCAAAGGAAACTTTCCTAATTACTTGCTTTGTATGACAAACTTGTTAGGGATGAAGTGGGTTCATTCCCCCCCCCCCACCCCACCCCCCCCCCCCCACCCCCAAAAATGGGGCCCTAGAACCCATCAAGGAAGTTAATCTTACTTACTGACTTAGTCGCTCCTCTTCTACCTTGGGGTGTAGAGGTTTGCCAGAGAGATCGCCAGATGTCTCTATCAGCAGTTTTCTTACTGGCTTTGTTCCATTCCAGTCCTCTGTCAGTTAAGGACTGTCGGATGTTGTCTTCCCAGCGCACCTGGGCTGCCCTGGAGATCTAGTTCCCTGAAGGAAGTTAATCAAATGTATTTATTTGCAGAGCATATGGGTATTCAGCATGATACAGTACAGGCCGCTGTCTATCGCTGGCTACCAGTATCCTGACTGGGCTGTGGGACTGGGCTGGGTCATTGCTCTCATGTCTGTTGTGTGCATACCTGCCGGCATGGTTCACGCTGTACTCACTACCAAGGGCAACAGTCTGTTCAGGGTAGGCAACATTTGTTGGCTTCAGTGTGTCTGTGTTGAGAGGAGGAAGCAGGAGGTTTCTTCCATGTCTGTTGTTGTATACCTGCTGTTGTCATCATCTTTGTTGTTGTCATAATCAACATCATTATCGTCATTGTCATCACTGTTGTTGTTGATTATCGTTATTGTCATCATAATCATCTTCTTTCTCCTCCTCCTCCTCCTCCTCATCATCTTCTTCTGCTTCCCTTTCTTCTTCTTTTCTTATTTCTTTATCATCTTCTTCTGCATTTTCTGGCTTTATCAGTGGGGACAACAGTTTACTGTGGGTAGCATTCTTCTCTTTCTTCTTATTCTTCTTCACTTCATCTTTTACTGATTCAGGTATCAAGGAAGATAGAAGGTTTTGCATTTGGCTTTTCTGGTCACCTCCAGCTTAGACACATCGCTGTAGAGTTTCTCTGATGTTATCTTTCCTTCTTGTTGTACCTCGTGTTCCATGTGCTTCCTCTCTTTTCATGTATACCTTGTATAATGTACAAGGCAATTTCTCTAAGTGGACAGACCATTTGATTTGCTGTCTTTGTTTGTAATTTAGAATTGGTTTTGTGCCTTGTTCTCTTATGACCTCATTCCTGATTTTACCTCTGCGGGTCACTACTGCAGCCTTTCTCAGACATCTCATTTTCTTGTGGGTAACATTTGTTGACTGAAATCATCTGAGTTGCCTGGTTGTGGTAAAAACAGTGTTGTAGACCAAAATCATCAGTATTGGATGATGGTGGAAACAGTGTTATTGACTGAAATCAACTGTGTTGAGTGGTAATGGAAACAGTGTTATAGACCAAAGTCATTTGTATTGGAAGATGGTGGAAACAGTGTTATTGACTGAAATCAACTGTGTTGAGTGGTAATGGAAACAGTGTTATAGACCAAAGTCATTTGTATTGGAAGATGGTGGAAACAGTGTTATTGACTGAAATCAACTGTGTTGAGTAGTGTTGGACACCGTGTTGTTGACTGAAATTGAAATCATCTCTGTTGACTGGTAGTGAAAACCGTGTTGTTGACTGAAATCATGTGTTGAGTGATGGTGGAAACCCTGTTGTTGACTGAAATCATCTGTGTTGGGTGATGGTGGAAACCCTATTGTTGACTGAAATCATCTGTGTTGGGTGATGGTGGAAACCCTATTGTTGACTGAAATCATCTGTGTTGAGTGATGGTGGAAACCCTATTGTTGACTGAAATCATCTGTGTTGAGTGATGGTGGAAACCCTATTGTTGACTGAAATCATCTGTGTTGGGTGATGGTGGAAACCCTATTGTTGACTGAAATCATCTGTGTTGGGTGATGGTGAAAACCCTGTTGTTGACTGAAATCATCTGTGTTGAGTGATGGTGGAAACCCTATTGTTGACTGAAATCATCTGTGTTGAGTGATGGTGAAAACCCTGTTGTTGACTGAAATCATCTGTGTTGGCTGATGGTGGAAACCCTATTGTTGACTGAAATCATCTGTGTTGGGTGATGGTGAAAACCCTGTTGTTGACTGAAATCATCTGTGTTGAGTGATGGTGGAAACCCTGTTGTTGACTGAAATCATCTGTGGAGTGATGGTGGAAACCCTATTGTTGACTGAAATCATCTGTGTTGAGTGATGGTGAAAACCCTGTTGTTGACTGAAATCATCTGTGTTGGCTGATGGTGGAAACCCTATTGTTGACTGAAATCATCTGTGTTGGGTGATGGTGAAAACCCTGTTGTTGACTGAAATCATCTGTGTTGAGTGATGGTGGAAACCCTGTTGTTGACTGAAATCATCTGTGGAGTGATGGTGGAAACCCTATTGTTGACTGAAATCATCTGTGTTGAGTGATGGTGGAAACCCTATTGTTGACTGAAATCATCTGTGTTGAGTGATGGTGGAAACCCTATTGTTGACTGAAATCATCTGTGTTGGGTGATGGTGAAAACCCTGTTGTTGACTGAAATCATCTGTGTTGAGTGATGGTGGAAACCCTATTGTTGACTGAAATCATCTGTGTTGAGTGATGGTGGAAACCCTATTGTTGACTGAAATCATCTGTGTTGGGTGATGGTGGATGCAACTAACTGTTGTATTATCTGTCAACAGAAATTTGTCAACAGTTTTTCAGCACAACTCGAACCTGAAACATCAAGTCCCATTACTCAAGACTCGGATGTATTTTTGACCAAATTCAACACACACCATTATGTTGACCAGCCAGACTGCCAGCCCCCAGAGAAGCATTGCATCGAGGTGTAAACACCACTGCTCTCCTTTTGTTGTAGACTCCTGTCTGTGAAATTGTATTGTGAACAATGCTGTTGGTTTCTCAAAACACCTAGTGATATTTTAACCCTCACTCAATGTTAGTTTACTGCCTATTAACTCATTGAGTACCAAGCAGCCCATCGTGTGTTTTTTTGGACTCCATTACCTGATATATTTTTATTCACTTTTTATGACCTGGGAGCCATGTTAATGTAATAGTTAGACACTCACCTGCCAGCCCGAACGTCTTGAGTTTTAATCTTTCCTTCTTCTTCAAAAATGGACTGAATGAGTTAATGGAAGTTCATATTAATGGAAGTTAGGGAAGTATCACCGCCGCTACTATCATCATCATATGTGGTAAGGTCTTGAATTTTAATCCGCACTGAGTTGCCTTTTACTTCTTAAAAAAGTTATTAGAAAATAGTTAATAAATTAATGTAAAGGAAAGTTAATGCGAAATTAGGGAATTACCACGATCATCATCATGTTCAATGTTTGCTCTAAGGTCTTGAGTTTTAATCCACAGCGAGTCACTTTTTCACTTCTTAAAATTTGACTGTATAAGTTAATGGAGGTTAATGTGAATGGAAGTTAGAAAATATAGGAAATTATCACCACCATGACTGCTACCATCAGTAACTTCATGAGTATGCTCAGGAAGATACAGAAGGGCTGGGTCTGAAAGCAATGGTTGGTGGCTCTACAGCGTCCACGGCTGACAAGGATTAGTTTCATTTTCGTGCCAGGACATGTGGGGGTTACAAGGAAATGAGCAAGCTGATAGACTTGCAGATAAGGCTGCTGTGAAAGCCGGACAAGCCATATACTGAATGCTCTACAAGATTTAACTCTTTGAGTCCCAGGGGGTTTAGCATCACAGGCCCAGGGGGTAGTAAAGAAAGTAATAAAATCGGCGCATCATGCGTTCATTGGGCTCCTAGGTAGGAACCTATGAACGTATCATGCGTTCCTTGGGACTCAGAGAGTTAAGACATTTGCCTAAACCAATTGAATCTGCAACCATGGTCATACTGTAAAAAACAGAATAATAAACCAACACAGAACTGGTGCTGTCAGACACTACACGCCGGGGGAATTACTGACGAGAGGATATGAGCACTTATACACTGAATAGTTTGATGTGCGGTGAGGATAATCTGTCGACTAACCAACTTACTGCAGCCACCACCATCATTTTCACATGCCCTGTCATCTGAAGGATCTTGAGTTTTAATCTGCATCCAGCAGCTTTTTTACTTAAACAGTTGACTGAATAAGTTAATAGAAGTTAATGTGAATGGAAGTTAATGTGAATTTAGGGAATTACCACCACCACCACCAACATCATTATCATTATGATCGTATACCATGTCTTCTGTAAAAGTAATGATCCTTTTTCACGCCTTTAGGCGCATTGGGCATATGGGAAGAGCGTCCCATATTTTTACAGACCAGTCGGCACTAGGTGGGTTTGGTGGTCAGCATTACGCCGGCCGTCTTTACTTTCCCAGGACAGCCATCCTGGTACCCACTTCAGGCTGGGTCGACCTGCGATGCCCCATACCATGATAAAAACCCATGCAGCCAGCAGTGGGTTTCGATTGCGGTACGTCAAAATTGCAAGTTGGACTTGCAACTCCTAAGCTATAGACACCGCATGTCTTCTGTAAGGTCCTGTCTTTATGCCCATTGAGCTGCTTTTTACTTCTTAAAATTAAATCACTGAATAATTTGATGGAAGCTTATATAAAAGGAACTTAGGGAATTATCACCACCATCATCATCATCATCATCATTATCATCATATGTTATGTCTGCTACCAGTGAGATTTTAAAGTGTTTGTATTCAGATATATGTATTATTGCTTATCTAAACGAGTTGAACATCAGGAAGAACTGGCTCATAAACAGCATCCTGTCTCAAAAGTTGAAGTATTTAGGCCACTTTTCCAAGCCATGGTGGCTTGGAAAAGTCGGTGGTGGAAGGTGCAGTTTGTGGAAGGTGTGACAGGGGTCAACCACCGCAAAGATGGATACAGGACATTGAAGAAGCATTGGCATTAAAAGCACATGGGGCCGGAGAGCTGGCTAGGGAAAGGGATACTTTCAGGCATGCTGTGAAGAGAGGGACGTTCTGTAAAGGACTTGTTGATTGATTGATTGTATTATTGCTGGGTTGTGAAAATAGAGTAATAATATTCTTCTTTGCTTCTTCTTTGTGTTCACTAGCTGTAAACTCTGGTGGAAAATTCTGGTTGTTCATCCACTTCTGGTTGTTGATCCACTTCTGGGCTGCAGTCCTGTTCCAGAACCTGAGTGTTGCGTGTGCATCTGTTTGACAGATCTGACTCATTTATGCAGACTGCTGGTTCCTTGCCTCTCAGGCAGATGCACTCTGACTTCAAAGGAAGCTCCCAGTTAGTCGACTCTTATGACATGCTTTTGGGTAGGCAGTGAGTCTATTCTTGTTTTCCCTATAATAGGGCCCCGGAACCCACACATGAAGAATATAATTATGAGAAAGAGAACTGTCATGTCATCTGCTAGGCTTTTTTTTAAAAGCATTAAGTGTTGTCCATTTATGTTTGTTGATCATGAGATGTGGGGGGGGGGGGGGGGGAAATGATAGCCCCAACCAGATGGCAGTATACTTGATGATGATGGTGGTGGTTATGTTGATAGTGGTGGGGTTGATGATCTTGAAAGTGAGGCTGATGGGAATGTTGATGGTGGGATGATGATGTTGATAGTGGTGGGGATGATGATGATGTTGATAGTGGTGAGGTTGATGATCTTGAAAGTGAGGCTGATGGGAATTTTGATGGTGGGATGATGATGTTGATAGTGGTGGGGATGATGATGATGTTGATAGTGGTGGGGATGATGATGATGTGACGGACGGTGATGATGATGACATTTTCTTCAATATTTGTGTAGACTGATTGACTGCTGTCACAATTTATAGACCAATATGATATTTTTCAGTTTTTCACATTTTTTGTTGAAACCAGAATTAGTATTTTTATGAACTGTAACTGTATTATTACCATATGCTAGCACATTCCAGAAATTTGCATGTTTCATTTTTCTCTCCTAGATCTCCCGCACAAAGGATGTGATTTTTTCCTCAAATGTCTCCCACACAAAGAGTGTTGTATTATTCTCTAATACAACTCCCACACAAGTGACATTACTGTCTCATGTGTCTCTCTCACAAAGCAAGCTGGATTTTTCTCTCTCATATTTCTCCCATAAAATGTTATTATTATTATGTCGTATGTCTCCCACACAAATGATGCTGTTATTCCCTCACATGTCTCCCACACAAATGATGTTATTATTCCCTCATATGTCTCCCACACAAATGATGTTTTATTCTCTCATGTCTCCCACACAAATGGTGTTATTATTCCCTCATATGTCTCCCACACAAATGATGTTATTATTCTCTCATGTCACCCACACAAATGGTGTTATTATTCTCTCATGTCACCCACACAAATGGTGTTATTATTCTCTCATGTCACCCACACAAATGGTGTTATTATTCTCTCATGTCTCGCACACAAATAGTGTTATTATTCTCTCATGTCTCGCACACAAATGATGTTATTATTCTCTCATGTTTCCCACACAAATGATGTTATTATTCTCTCATGTCTCCCACACAAATGGTGTTATTATTCTTTCATGTCTCCCACACAAATGATGTTATTATTCTCTCATGTCTCGCACACAAATGATGTTATTATTCTCTCATGTTTCCCACACAAATGATGTTATTATTCTCTCATGTCTCCCACACAAATGGTGTTATTATTCTTTCATGTCTCCCACACAAATTATGTTGTTATTCTCTCACATGAAAAGATGTTTGATTGTTCTCTCTAATATTATGATATAAATGCAATAGAAAGTTTGTTGATTCTCTCATGTTTCCGACACAAAGGATGTTGATTATTCTCTCACAGGTCTCCCACAGTGTCTGCAGTTTTTGGCCTGTTTCATCAAATCCTGAATTAATGCCTTTTAAAACCTGCTTATGGGATATTGAGTCATGTTCTTCTCCCCCCCCCCCACCCCCCCCCCCCCCTCCCATATAAAAGGCCTAAGAAGCCACACAGAAAATAAGACACACTTCAGTGTGGAACTGGGACAGTGACAGATTAATGTGGTTGAGAAATTTAAAAATTAACACCTGAAAAATATGCCTTGATCACAGAGATGTGAAGAAACACCAAAATATCAAACAGGAAGCAAAATAAAATTGAGCAAAGAGCGAACATTAAAACTCTGCTAGTAACCATGCAGTTCTCTCTAGATATACAAAATTGGGAAGAGTTACTTGTCATCAGCTGACCAGGTGGCATTACAGTTTGGCCAAATCATAGATGAATAGTGCCTGTTTGGATGGCATGCTTTGCTTCATGGATAGCATTTTTTGTTTGTCTTGGCCATAATCAAATCAGTTTAATTATTGAATGGCCAGACTGTGTGTTGACCGCATCTGCCACTCAATTCTGATTCATCTGTTAATAAAGAGGCTTGCAACATATGCCCAGTACACCTAAAAGCTGGGAAATAGGAGTATTTTATTCAGTGTATGCACCTTACATACTGTTCAAGTTGTCGACTAAAATGTTGTTCAAGTTGTCGACTAAAATGTTGTTCAAGTTGTCGACTAAAATTTTGTTCAAGTTGTCAGCTTAAATGTTGTTCAAGTTGTCGACTAAAATGTTTTTTAATTTGTCAGCTAAAATGTTGTTTGAGTTGTCAGCTAAAATGTTGTTCAAGTTGTCAGCTTAAATGTTGTTCAAGTTGTCGACTAAAATGTTTTTTAATTTGTCAGCTTAAATGTTGTTTGAGTTGTCAGCTAAAATGTTGTTTAAGTTGTCAGCTAAAACGTTGTTTAATTTGTCAGCTAAAATGTTGTTCAAGTTGTCAGCTAAAATGTTGTTCAAGTTGTCAGCTAAAATGTTGTTCAAGTT